CCCTAGCATTTCTTTTTCCAGTATAATGATGTGAACATGGGGACTGATCCTTCTCTTCTTTCTCTAAACTTGAATATAGAGGGGTGGCTGCTGGCATTGGCTCAGTGACTAGACTACACTAGGGTCAATATTTCTGCGTTTTCTTAACCTTTTTTCTCATGCATATTACTTCATGGCCACAAGACATCTGTCATTTGCTATCTAGAATTGTAAGTTTAAATATGAAAATATCCAGCACAAGGAACTCAAGTTGTAGTCTTGTTGTGCACCTTGCAAAGGCTAAGAGCAAGTCTGTTCGATTTGATCTCTCCATCAAAATAACTCTTCAAGGCCATCAATGATTTCCACATTACTTAATAACTGTAGGCCTTATTTCCTCTGACCAGCAACACAATTGACAACTCCCTGTATTTTCAAACATTTTTCCACCTAGTTTCTAGGATAAAACTTTCCCTTGGTTCCTTTTTCACTTTCCCCAATGGCCACATCTTCCCAATCTCCTTTTGGGGGTCTTCTTAATCTTCCCCAGTTTCTAAATGCTGCTGGAAGGACAAAAGGCTCAGTTCTAGACCTTTACTTATTTCTTGGGTGAATTTACTTAGTTCCAAGACTTATAAAATTTCTATATCCAGAATCCCAGATTTACTTACCTGCTTGCCTCTTGAATTCTCAGCTCATAATTTAATTTAATAAACATCTCAAACTTAATATAACTAAAGCCAAACTCCTTTTTCTCAAACTCTTATTCCCTTTCCTTTCACAGACATCTCCATCTCAATTAGTGGCAATGTCCTGTTAAATTACTCAAGGCAGAAATCCGTAGTTACCCTTATTTCTCTTATTTTCTCCCATTCAATCCATCAAGAAATCATACCGGGGCCTCCCTGGTGGCACAACAGGTTAAGATGCAACCTATGAAGTTGTCCGCAGCCTCCATAGCATGAGTTCAATCCCTGGGCAGCCAGGGAACAACTCACATGGTACAGCAGACCTCTCCTCGTTCGCCCGCTGCTCCCCCCTCAGCAGTGTATTTCAGTAGATCTGCCTGTTTTGTTCCCCACTCTGTCTCTGTAAATCCTCTCACCCACCCCCCACAACTCTGGCCTGTACCCCAACTCTTGTATGCATAAATAAATAAATCTTTTTTTTTTTTTAAAGAAAGAAATCCTATTGACTTGATTTTCAAAGTCAGTTCAGGATTTTTGTTATGATGTCAAATACTAACCCTCTGCTCTAGAGACTCTGATTATCTGATATTCCCAAATTAGTGCCCAAAATTATGTTGTTAAAACATTTCAGATCATGTCACTCTGCTCATAACCCCTAATGAATCCATCTCACTCTAATAAGAAGCAATGCCAAAATAGCTAAAATTGCTACATGATCAGGTTTTCAATCCCTATTATGTTTTTATTCATAATAGGATAATAGAGAAATGGGAATATATTTATATATTAGCATATACATAGCAGTATATTATATAACATGTAACATATTTTAAATAGATATAGTAGTTCACACCACCTCCTGGAATATGTGAACATAGTAGCAAATCCAGCATCTACAAGTTTCTATCCAGAAATCCAGCACTGAAATGACTCATTAACTCTTTCTGTACCAAAGTCTATTCATTTTTGCCTTTTCTTAGTTTATTTTTATAAAACTGTAGGATAACAAAGCACAATCCCTAAATTTCTACTTTATATAAAATTACGTCTTGTTTTTCTTTCGAACAGATCATATATTGAGCCCAGCATTTACCAACATTTTGTAGCATTTCAGGCCATTTTTCAAAATTTGCTGTTGACTTTTACCATAGTTCTACAACCATTAAGTCATCAGGTCCTGTCTTCTACTTGTTAACTGAATAATACTATGGGATACTTAATATAAAGTATCTAATTCACAGTCTTTCTCTGGCACTGCTTAGGAAGCATATGGTGTCAGTAGTGTCCCAAAAGGCAATCCTCATTGAGCTACTAGGATGTCACTATTTAGAAATTAAACTATTCTTTTTCCCTACTAATATTCTGGGGAGAAGTTCCATTTTCAGCAGTCACAGCTAACAGAAAAGCACAGCAACCTTTCAGGCTCTTTATAAATTGTTAGGCAGGTATTAAGAGCTAAGAAGAGGAAGAAGGAAAAAGCTGCCTTAAAGGGTCAGTGACAGGGCATCAAAGACGAAGCTTCCTTACATCAAAATTTTGTTTCACTTCCCCTTTAACTGTCTGATATCCTTGGAAATGCATCTCAAAGGTGGTGTCATAATCCATTTACTCTCTTATCATGGCTTTACTAGGGGATGAAGAACAATCCAATGTCTGAAAAAGAAAAACTTACAACCAAATTTGGTTATCCAACAGCATATGATTCTGAATCATTTTCCCATCTCTGACACTGAAGTAAATCTGGCATTATTGCTTTTTCTTAAAACTTTGCAATCACAAGTCATTTAACCACAAAGCATTTACTCCCAACAACCACATCTTAGGCCCACACTCTGAGTGAATTCAAGGGGATCCTGGGGTTTCCCAAGGGGGGGGTTGTGAGGGTAGATTGTCACCATGGTGTGACAGAAAGATCACTAGCCTCAAAGCAGAAAAAAAAACCCTGGGTTTGAATCACAGTCCTGCCATTTACGAGCTCTCGGGCTTGGGACAAGCCATTTAACCTTTCAATTGCTTCATCTACAACATGGTCCACCTCGCAGGATTTTTTTCAACAATGGCATGTGAGAACACTTAGCAAAAAGGAGCACTAACAAAAGAAAGGCACACTATAAATATATTTATTTTAATTTGAACAGTGTCCTATTTTTCCTCCCCAGTCACTGGGTAAAGAGCCTCAAATAATTCAGGGTAATTCTTTTTCCCGAACACTCCCACAGGATTCTGGAGCCTGAGACACAGATTACATCTAAATTCATGAGTGGATATAGTATTCAACACTGAATGCTCATTTTCAATAGAATAAAACAATACACACCAAATAATAAGGGCATTATTCCCATTCATGAGAACTCCATCCTCATGACTTGATTACCTCTCAAAGGCCCCCACCCCTAGTACTATCACATTGGGAAGTTAGGATTTCAACACATGAATTCTGGCAGGACACAAACATTCAGTCCATAGTGCTAATCAATAGATTTAATTATTTCATTATTTTTCCTCTATTCTTAATCACTGCCCTCTCATATAAATACAAATATCTCATATTCTTAATCACTGTCCTATCAATTTATCTTGAATTTTATTTCCCAGGTTATTTGGTCAAACTGAAGTATAAACCTCATGTCTCGAACATTAGAGTCAATATTTAGGCCAAGATATTTTGTAGAATTGGATAAACCAAAAATGGTTTATTCTCTTCTTGAGGCTCAAATGTTCTGTTCATAATAGAAGTATATCAAATATAAAATGATCTTCTCGGGCCTCCCCGGTGGCACAGCGGTTGAGCGCTGGGTTGCGAAGCTGCGCGCGGCCTCTGTGGCGCCGGTTCGATCCCCAGCTGCTCCCCGGACACCGGAGGAGGGTCCCGCATGGCGCGCAGACCTCTCCTGCCGCCCGCTGCTCCCCTCAGCAGTGTACTTCGGTCCTTCTGCCTGCTCTGCTCCCCGCTCTGGCTCTGGTGAATTCTCTCACCCTCCCGCGCTTCTGACTGTACCCAGTGCATGTATAAACAAAACAAACAAACAAACCAGCAAACAAATAAATAAAAAGCATGCCTCTATTAAAAAAATAAAATAAAATAAAATAAAATGATCTTCTCTTTCTGCACTGAATCTTATGGAAATTGATACATATGAACAAGAGTAGTGGATAGCAATTTCTAGACTAATGGGGCCTGACAAGGATGGTCTATTAGTCCCTTAGAAGCCATTTCTGACCTTTTCTTGCCAATGAAAGGATGAAATCTCCTCACTGGTATCTAAAAAGAAGACTACAAATATGCTACAAGTAATATTACTATATTAGATTATCTCTTAAAAAAATAAAAATAAAAAAAACTTGGCTATGACTTCTTTCCCACTAATTATGACCTAATGTTAAAATCAAACATTTGTTAAGTTGTAACCTAGAAAACCTGTTTTTTTTCACTTTACAAAATGCAGAGACTAACTCCGGTATTATATTAGGTTCTAAGAATAATGACTAATTTATAAAAAAAAAAAAAGGTCTTTTTAAAAGAAAGTCTTCATCAATCATGCAATACAGGCTGGATAACAAAACACTGTTAGGGCCTCCCCGGTGGCGCAGCGGTTGAGCGCTGGGTTGTGAAGCTGCCCGCAGCCTCTGCAGCCCAGTTCAATCCCTGGTCACCGGGCAAGGGTCCCACATGGCGCACAGACCTCTCCTGCCGCCCGCTGCTCCCCTCAGCAGTGTACTTCGTCACTCTGCCTGCTCTGCACTCCGCTCTGGCTCTGGTGAATTCTCTCACCCTCCCGTGCTTCTGACTGTACCCAGTGCTTGTATAAATAAATAAATAAATCTTTAAAAAAAAAAAAGAATCTTAAAAAAAAAAAAACACTGTTACACTGTTAAATTTTCAATTGCCTTTTATACAAGTACATAAAAATTAACAAAGGCAAATTGTTCCTTCCCCAAAGGCAAATTGTCCCTTCCTTTGTTTCTATGGTCTCCTTACTCAAGAACGGGTCCTCTTGTTCTCTATTTCTCAGGCTCTCTTGTTCTCATTTTCTCTACTCCACTTCTACTTAAATAACAATCAAAACAAAACATTAAAAGATCTGATTTGAACAATTATAATTACATATTGATTAGTGATAACTTGTATATTAAACTAATGAGCTATCTTCATTGAGGTCTTTACTTTTTCAAATTTTTAAAGAATAAAATGATTTTCTTAAACCTGGCCTTTCAAAGATAATACCAAAGAAGGCTAATTAACCTTTGCCTCCATCTGGAATGGCTAAAGACTTTTCAGCCTGGGCAATTATAACTCCTTTTCTTCAAGTTCTGCCTTAGCCAACCACTCACTTCTGTCAGCAATCCAGGTCATTCCTGAATGGTAACTCTATGATTCTTCTCCATCTCTCTTATGTATTTCTGTGCAATAAAATTTCCCAAAACTCAGTGACTGGAAACAAACAAACAAAAAATCTGAATTTTCATGACTGTGGGGTGTTGAGCAGTTCCTCTGATGATTTCATGAGGCTGCTTTCAGTACAAGGTTCAACTAGAATGTTCCTCACTCTGGCAGACAATGCTAACTATTGGATAAGAAGCCCAGAATCATCTCCTCTGATCCTCCCATTAGCTAGACTGACTTCCTTACATGACCATTTCAGACAGTACTCCATGGGCCAAAAGCAGAAGTTTCAAATTATCACTTCACAGCATTTCTGCCATGTGCTTTATTTCTCTTCATATTAATTAACATCACATGATGTGATGTGGTACACTCCATTATTGGACTTTCTTCTTTCTCTCTTTCACTACAATACAATTTTGTGAGAGTAGGAACCTTGACCTTTTTAGATCACCCTCCCCAGCATCTAAACAATATCTGGCACAGAACAGGAAATCTACAATAATTATTGAATGAACTTAAGGAAAGCTCTTCTTGTCCTTAGTGACCAGGTCCTGCCAATTCCATGTTCTCAACAGTCAATCTCCAGATTTCCATCAACTCTCCTAGGGATAATATAATGGCCTCCTAACCCATTTTCTTACTCAGATTCCTTTCCCCCTCCAGTCTACCCTCCAAAGTCAATCAGAGAGCTGTTTCTGGAAGTAATGTCTGATTACAGTATTTTTCTACTTCAGAATTTCAATGGCTATCTTGCTGCCAACAGAATAAAGTTCCAAACCTTCACATGGAATTTAGAACCTTCACAAATGATCTGAATCCCCCATTTTGTTCCCATTCCTCATCAACTATCCCTATTCCCAACTCACAGATCTTGCATCTAGTGAATACTGACCTCCCTCCTATTTTCTGTTCACTGAATGGCCCAGGCTCTTTGATCTGATGTGCAGCTCATCTTTTCCAGTTGACCAACCCCTGTTCATCTTCAAGATCCAGGAATTCCATCATCTCTTCAATGAAAACCTACTGACATCCAATTTACTATTTCTTCAGAATTCTGAAGGTAGTTAAAATAGTTTTATTATGTTTCCTGTATGTCTGCCCACTCCCTTCAAAAACTCTTATTTTCTTGTATCTTATTCATTGTTCATTTTTGTACAATGTATGCTTGCATGCTTTCTCCATTTAGGTGTATCTTTTATTTTTCTTTTTAAAATTTCTATACTACAATCCAGATGGGGATGGCTCAAGGTGTGTGTTAAATAAATGTTGATTAAATAAATATTCCAAAAGATAGACCTTGGAGGTATTAACTTTAGAATAAAATTAATGACTCAGTGATGTTCACTACATCCCAAGATATTTTCAGATCCAACACCACACTGGATTTAGGTTTATGAAAAAATTATGGAGAGCTAGTTTACCCCAAGACTTTTGTCACTTGGTTTAAAACTTTAGGTTTCTTCTTTTCAGGCTTCTCATCAGAAAGCAGTTCACAAATACTAAGAATGTGATTTGCTATAAACCCACAAGACAGTAATCACAGGGAAACCTAAGAGCTAGTGTTAACTACTTCATGGAATGTGGTGAAGTAATGAACCTGAAATGCTTGTAGGTGGGAAGTATGGCCAATGACTAATTTGATCCTGTATTTGCTCAGTCTCATATTTAAGTTGTCTCTACAATGGTGTGAACAAGAGTCTCCTGAATAAATAATTCTTCCCCAGAATTTCTCCCTTAGTGAAGGCCAGTCAAATCCCTGAAGAAACTGCATGTGTGCACACACTTGCTCAATGAAATGCTGATGCTTTCTTCTTGTACACTGATACTGAGAACTTTTTTAGAAACATACAAACTAGAATTGACACTTTCAATTCTCACCACACAATAGCTTCTCTTATAACCCCCTATCATGACATTTTTAGTAGAGAGTGAGTCAAATATCCTGACCACCTACTCTATGACATTTCCAGAAGAGAGATCGAGGCTTGCCCTATATAATATGCTCCAGCTGGTAAATCTCATCAAGAAAGGCACTCCTACAGCTGATATATATGGTCATATCCCATACCTCAAGACCTTGTATTAGCAGGAAAGCTCAGTACAAATTATTCTCCCTGGGGAATTTTTTCCCTAATCAAGTTCTGTCAGTTCCCAGGGGAGCAGTTTGTATATTTGCTCAATGAAATGTTGGAACTTTTTTGGAAACCTATCAACTAGTACTGACCTTATAAGTACTGAGTTCCTTTTTGGCTCTGAGTTCATCTCTGGAGTTCTAAAAGAAGGAACATACTTTCTTCATTTCTTCAAAAAGCATCTGACTATATGATTAAGTAGGGGTAGGCTAAATAGATTGTTTTTCGAAAGAAAATGTATTCAATGAACATATATTTAGACCTTTACTGATTACATTCATGAACATGAAAATACTCAGAATAATACTGAGTGATGCCAATAATACCCTTCCTGCTCTAAAATTATAATATATTTCCTCCTATACTGATAATTATGGCAACTAATAATACCATCATTATCTGGAAATGTCATGTGGGCACACTGTTAATCTGTCCCCATTATTGTTTTAGCTCTGACATGGCTATAGAGTCATCACTCCCTCCTCAGTTCATGGCCTCATCACTAACCTGTCTCACTATTATTCCCCCACTGAACCCAGATAAGACCCATGAATCTTCTTCAGTTGAATACTTTTGGTAGCCATGACCCAGAAAACAGATCCAGTATGTGAGATTTTTTAAAAGTCTATCTAATATTTCCCTTTCCTTTAAATAGAGAACACAGAACATAAAAAATGAGATCAGGTCAGATATATACAGTCTATGTACATACACTTTGATCAAACAAAACAAATAAACCAGCAAATAAAAACACAAAGCAGAAGGGGGTAAATCCCTTAACATTGGTTTTGGCAATGACTTTTTGGGGTATGACACCAAAACAAAAATACCAAAAGCAAAAATAAACATGCAGTACTACATTAAACTAAAAAGCTTCCACACAGCAAAGGAAACCATCAACAAAATAAAATAGGACCTACAAAACAGGAGAAAATATTTACAAACTGCATATCTGATAAGGACTAACATCCAAAATGAGCAAAAAGTTCATACAATCCAAAATAATAAAAATAGAAGATAATAAAAATAGAATATAAACCAATAAACATGGGCAAAGCATGTGAATATACATTTTTCCAAAGAAGACATACAAATGACGAACAAGTACATGTAAGAGGCACTCAACATAGCTTATCACCAGGGAAGAGAAAATCAAAACCACAATAAGATACCACCTCACACCTATTAGGATGTCTATTTATCAGAAATACAAATGATAGCAAATGCTGGTGAGGATGTGGGGAAAGGCATATAACCTGGTGTATCCCCTATAGAAAAAAGTATGGAGGTTTATCAAGAAACTAAAAATAGAACTATGATATGACCTAGCAATCCTACTTCTGGTTATATATCCAAAGAAAATAAAACCATCATCAAAGAGATATCTATATTCCATGTTCATTGCAGCATATGCACAATAGTATGAAAGCAACCTAAATGTTTGTCAAAAGATGAATGGATAAAGACAATGTGATACACACATGCATGTGTTCATGCACTCATGAGCACATGCGTGTGTGCGCACACGCACTCACACACAAATATTATTCAGCCTTGAAAAAGAAGAAATTTCACTTGCAACAACATTGACGAATCTAGAGGGTATTATGCTAAGTGAAATAAGCCAGACTAAGAAACATTAATGTTTCATGATGTCACTTACATGTGGAATCTTAAAAAAAAAAAAAAAAACTCATAGAAAGAGTAGATGATGGTTGCAAGGGGCTGGAGGTTAGGGAAAATAAGGAAAGGTTGGTAAAGGGTACAGATTTTCAGTTCTAGAGGAATAAAATCAGGATCTAATGTATAACATGGTGATTATAGTTGGTAACACTGTATTATGGCACTGAAATTTCTGAGAGTAGAACTTAAGTGTTCTTACAAAAAAAGAGATAAATATGAGATGACTAATGTGTGATGAATTTGCTGATGGGAATCCTTTCACAACTCATGTGTTTGTGTGTGTGTGTGTGTGTGTGTGTGTGATCAAGTCTTCACAGTATACAATTTATTAAAATTTTATATTATAATCACATTTGCCAATTAAGCCACAATAAGCTGAAAAAAAAATCACACACAAAAAAAGCAGAAATAACAGGACTTGAATGGAGCCTTATCAAAGGAATTAATAAATTTAAAGGAAACCTGTCTTTAAAAGATAAGGGAAGAAGATAAAACAGAAGAGAGTAAAATTAATTTGCTGATTACGATACACCATAATCTACCAAAGAATGAAAATGATTACAGAATTGCTACTCTTAGAGAAGTGATCTCTGTGGAGAGACAAGAATAGTTTACTAGGTTTTACCAAAACACAAATGAATCATTCTCCTAAATCATCTCATCCCTGTGATCTGATTCCGCAGCCAGCAACAAGCAACTTTCTAACTAGTTTCTCAGTTCTAATATTGGTAAAAGTTTTCCCTGGAAGGTTGAAATCAAAATCCATAAACTAGAAATAGATATCTTCCATTTTAAACTAAAAAATTGGCAATTTTTTTCTTAAATTAACATTAGTATCAAACTGAATCCATCTTGAATTTTCCCCTTTTAAACATAAATATGAATCAATACATTGACAACTTGGTTTATACTCAGTCTCTTCTGAGTTTAGTGATACATTTATTTTCCCAAATATTTCCAGTCCTATCCTGGCCCTATGCTATTGGATGAGGTCATGTAACAATGATGCAGTCTTAAGTGGAAGCAATGTGTCATTTCTGGGCCATAGCATTTAGTTGCAAAATGCAAGACTTTCCAGATCTCTCATTTCCCTAGGGTTGGTGTTTCTCTTGTGGCATCTGCAACTGTTGCCACAGCTTTAACATTTTTATAATTATGCAATACTGGTCATTATCATGAGCAAAAATACTTTAGGGTCCACTGAATTCTGAAAGTTATTGACGTGTATACAGAAATACACTGTTGAGTCTGGGAATGAAAAAAAAAAATGACCAAGCACTTTGCACAAGTTATTTCACTTAATCCCGAAAACCACTC